GCCTCGCACGCCGGCGCTTCGGCTGACCCCAACCCCAACTCCTCCGTCCCAGCCTCCGCGAGGGAAACATAGAGCCAGGCAATGCCAGGCCCTTCTCCCTCCAGTTAAACCCGCCGCCCCAGCAGAAGCTGGGACGTGGGTGCCAGAACACCAGTACGCCGCTGGTTTCTACTGGGGGGGGAGGAAAAAGTCCCCAAGAGGATGTAACAAATGGCTGTTGGGAGAAGTGCTGGAGGGAAGTCTCCTCCATGGCCCAGGGGAGAGGGGTAGAGAGGAAAAATAGCGGCAGAACCAGAGGAGAGCAGCTGGAAGGAGCGATGGGATGCGCCCGGCAGGGGGGAAAGCCGAATCGCACCGGCGCGCGTAACCGGTGCTTCACCGCGCACCGGGGAGGCTTTCCAGGCAGCTAATGGCCCGTTTCCTCCCCAAGTCGTGAAGCCCAGTGGTGTGCACCTGAAGCTGGTCCTCAGGTTCCAGGATTTTGGGAAAGCCATGTTCAAGCCCATGAGGTAAGGCATGCCGGCAAACCCCCCGCCGAGCCCCCGCCGCGCCGCGTAGCCGTGAACCAAGGGGCCCCGCAGCGAGGGGCGCGAGCATCCCTGGAAGGACAGGCACACCACAGCCACCTCTTTCCTCTCCTGCACTCAGCTACCTCGGCAGCCGAAAAGGTTTTATTATTGTTGGCTGCTTGCACCGTCCCAGAGCCGCGCGCGGATAAACGCCGGCGTTCCCACGCTGCTTGCCGACGTCGGCAATTTCTCAGTTCATAGATGCCACGCAGCGACGAACCTTGGGGTACTCTGCTTTTAGGGGCTGCCCATTTCTTCCTCTTCCCCAGCTGACTTTGTGTTTTACCTTGTTTCTCCTTGGATTCCCCAGAGTATTTCCAAGAAACACTCATCAGTCCCGGTCACCTCAAACAGGAGTTTTAAATTGCTTCTGCACTTATTTCTAGCCCCTTGGGACTCTTCACATTTGTTCGCCCTCGCTTTACTTTCCACGCCCAGGCAGGGCAGCTGGCAGCACACCAGCTGTGATGGTTTGCTCATCCAGAAAGCAGCCAGCTCCTCTCCCCTTGGTTCCCACCCACCTCTGCCCCGTGTCCAGCAGGTCCAGGAGGGGAAGGAAAGCGTCCGTGCACCCAGCTGAGCTGGGAGGGCTCAGCAGTGCCTGTGGGCTTTCCTGCAACATACAGCCTTGGGAGGCTGAGCATGCAAATTCACACGCGGCACATCTCGGGGCACTGGGTGACGGCCAGGAAATGAAATGAAATGGGCTGGTGTTCCCATCTCAGGGATATGGGATC